CTGAATAGAAATGTAAACATTGACGCAAGAAGCGACTTCCGGACAGCACAGACAGCATTAGCAGCACTTGAACATTCACCTGTAATTTGGAAGGAAGAGCTGCAGTGCGGTGAAATATGAAGTCACAAATGTACGTTTTTCTCTTTTTGCACATCTTCCACATGTGCCCAAAAATGGCGTCCGGTGAGCCGCGATGGTAAATGCAGAGGTCTGATCTTTTGATTCTCCAGGCTGTCTGACATATAAAGGATTGAAACATTTGTCCATAGTCTTTGCATGATAAACGTCCATTCTTTGGTACGTAATCTATGATTGTAAATGAATGTGTCTGCCGAGCAAACGTGTTATTTTTTCCGTGAGAGAAAGCACATGGAACGCATGTTGCAGAATTTGCTTCTTTTCCCAGGAACCCATTGAAATCAATTGGGACACGTGGCAAACGCGGGAAACAAAATGCCCATGAACATGCACAATTGTGTGTCGCTGTGATGCGTGTTCCGCTCTGGAGTGAACGGGGACTTAGACAGTAACAAGGCCCCTTCACACCTCTGCATTTTAGCATGCACATCAGAATGCAAAACAACACATGTGTCATAAGAAGACATGTTAGCCAATGAGCCTGTTTGCAATGTGCTGTGTTTTGAAAATTCAAGGTATAAGGTGTTTTATTGCGTTTTCATGCCTTGGCAGCCCCTGGTATCAAGCTCTGGACACCTGTCACATGTTCACTATTCATTATTATTGTTCTTCTTCTCATGTGGAATCAGGACTGCGACATCTGCAAAAAACATTGTAAGTGCAGACATTAGCGATTACTCAACAAGTCCACGACAATGTTGTCACTGCAGGAAAGCAATCCTCACTGGCCAAACCAAAAAGTGCATGACACACGAAAACATGTATCAACACATCAAAAACGCACCGCAATGCACAATGAAAACACATGTAATTGTGCTACCGTGCATGGTAGGAAAGGCAATAAAAACAGAGCAAGGCTGAGGATCCATTCAGAACATATGCATTCCCGTACTGAAGGAGATTGAGTGGGTCAAGGCTTTGTGCTCTGCAGTACCATTATTTCCTAATGGCAACCCAATGCACCTAGCTATCACATGCTCATTGCCTCGCACTACAATCTAGCATGTGTCGAGGTGCAACGTGAATAAAAATGTGTCATGCACTTCTCCAGTGGGATGTAGATTCGGTCCCACCACAACGCACTTCTCCAGTGTGATATAGATTCGGTCCCACCACATCGCACTTCTCCAGTGTGATATAGATTCGGTCCCACCACAACGCACTTCTCCAGTGTGATATAGATTCGGTCCCACCACAACGCACTTCTCCAGTGTGATATAGATTTGGTCCCACCACAACGCACTTCTCTAGTGTGATATAGATTTGGTCCCACCACAACGCAGAGCAATGTGTATAAAAATTATCTGCAATGCACATGCAATGTCACATCATAGATATGGAGCGTGCCAAAAGCAGATGCAGATAGATGTGGACCCGACCTTACTGTTCATGAAGATTCAGAAATGTTTCAGTCAGGAGATGTTTCTGTTTTACATTAACTGTTTTTTAATGCTTTATTACCATTGTTTTTGTTATTTTTTGGCTGTAAATACGGGATCCTGGAAATCAGTTATTTGTTTTTTCCTGATATGTTATCACAATTTCCAAGGCTGCAGCGCCAAACAGGTGAAACTTTGATACAATATACAAACTCTACCCAATCCATGCTTAAATTGGTATTATACTCTCAATTGTTGTTACATATACTGTATCTAATGCTAGCAAGCAGCAGATATGTGCAAAAACATTTAAAAAAAGAAAAAAGTTGTCAAATAGCTAAAAAAAGTACCTGTGTCTCTGCACCGCTCTCTCCTGGCTGCAGAATCCAGCTTCCCGAACGGCCGTGCTGTAAAAAGTGTGTGCAGGTGCATGCGCAGTCTATATCACCGGCGGGGAGAGGAGGAGAGACACAGTGGAGCTGAATGCACGTAGCCTTGAGCGTGCACACCGGACAGACTCCGGGAGACACAGGAAGAAGTAGGTGTCTGTGCCGGATCAGAGACCGACACCAGCGCTGGAGGGACTTTTGGAAACCAGTGGAAGGAAGGAGATTTATGGAACGAGAGGCATCACATATAGTATGTACTTAAAGGAGAACTATGGGGTTAGGGCTTTTCCCCATAGTTCTCCTAAGGGTAACGGGGGGACACAAACGTCCTTCCGTTACCCTAAGCTCAGTATACCGCAAGCTACAGCTCGCGGTATACTGAGACGCCGCAGCTGTAACAGATCCTGACAATTATGTCTGGATCCGCCCAGCTGCGTGAGTGACAGCTGGCTCTGCCTATCTAGAGGCAGAGCCAGCTGTACCCTCCCCCTCCCCCGTCCGTTCCGCCAGTCAACGCTGTAGGATCGGAGCGGGGAGGGGAGAATCCAGTCCCTCCCCTGTCATTGCTCTCTGCCGTGACAGGATCGAGAAGTGAGCGAACGCCGGTATGTGCTCGCTCACTTCCTGATCTACTAAGCCGACCTGTGACAGTCTCATTGTCACAGGTCGGCTAGAACTATGAGGATGAGTGAAAAGCACTCACCTCATAGTTCTCTTTTAAAGCAGCATGGGGGGAGGGGGGCTTTAATGTCACTTTAAAGCTTAACTCTGGGCACAAAAAATACAAATATTTCAACATATTCCTCAATAGTCACAAAGGACATAAATCCGCTTTGCATTATAAATCCATTTATGTACCAAATGCCTAGGTGAACCCATATATTAGTTTGTAAAGTAGCGGTGTCATTGTCACTGTGTTGTACGTAGCCCGTGCAGGGAGCAGAACTGTGGGAGGGGAGCAGCAGGCCCCACCCACTACAGCAAAAAGTGACATTTGGATCTGATCAGACCACCCATGTGAAAGGACAACCCATATGAAAGGATCACCCATGTGAAAGGACCACCCATATGAAAGGACCACCCATGTGAAAGGACAGCCTGTTTGAAAAGACCGCCAATGTGAAGAACCCCCAATGTGAAAAGACCATCAATGTGAAGAACCCTCCATGTGAAAAGACCGTCAATGTGAAGAACCCACTCCCCAGTGTGAAAAGACCTCCCGTGTGAAGAACTCCTGTGTGAAAAGACCTCCCATGTGAAGAACTCCTGTGTGAAAAGACCTCCCATGTGAAGAACTCCTGTGTGAAAAGACCTCCCATGTAAAGAATCACCTGTGTGAAAAAACCTTACATATGAAAAAAAACCCAGTGTGAAAAGACCTTCCATGTGAAGAACCCCTGTGTGAAAGACCTTCCATGTGAAGAACCCCCCGTGTAAAAAGTCCTCCCATGTGAAGAACCCCTGTGTGAAAAGACCGCCATCTGAAGAACCCCCTGTGTGTAAAGACCTCCTATGTGAAGAACCCCCTTTGTGAAAAGGCCACCCATGTGAAGAACCCCCAGTGTAAAAAGACCGTCCATGTGAAGAACTCCTGTGTGAAAAGACCGCCCTGCGTGAAAAGGCCGCCCAATGCGAAGAATCCCGTGTGAAAAGACCGCCCATGTGACGAACCCCCCGTGTAAAAAGACCGCCCATGTGAGGAGCCCGAGTGAAAAGACCACCCATATGAAAGGACTGCCCGTGTGAAAGGACCGCCTATGTGGTGAAAGCACCGTCTATGTGAAAAGACCTCCCATGTTAAAAAAACGGCCATGTGAAGAACCCCCCATGTGAAAGGACTGCCCGTGTGAAAGGACTGTCCGTATGAAAAGGCTGCCAATGTAGTGAAAGTACCGTCTATGTGAAAAGACCTCCCACGTGAAAAGACTGCCTGTTTGCCACTGCCTATGTGAAAAGACTGCCCATCTGAAAGGACAGCTTGTGTTAAAAGACCGCCCAAGTGAAAGGACTGCCTATGTGGTGAAAGCACCGTCTATGTGAAAAGACCTCCCATGATGTAAAAAGGCCATGTGAAGAACTCCCCATTTGAAAGGACTGTCCGTATGAAAAGACCGCTGATGTAGTGCTCTTCCAATACACAAGCCTCTTGTATTTATAAATATTCATTGCCCGCCGTTCACAAATATCTGGTTTTATAGGCTGAATATAAACAGTGGACTATATAGAATAATTTCTACTCTCTGCTCCATGAAACACTTAAAATAAGAACAGTCTGCAGAGATAGAAAGAATGGACAAAGTCCTGGCAGTGAAAAGGTTAAAACTATTTTTTTTCTCCCTGATGACACCCGTGACATCGGTCCATGTGTAGTGTGTTTATAATGAGTGTTAGTCAGCCGTCCATGTGCCCATAAGGCGCTCGCCGCACTCCACGTCAGTGTCCCTTTAAGGGAGGCGGGGCGCGCTCACGCTCGCACACACACATATAATCAGCTCTCTCTCCTCTAATCAGCGTCCCGGAGAGCACAGCCAGGTGACACATGTCCGTCCATGTGTATCGAACCCTCTCAGGCACGCCCCTACGGCTCGCCGATTCGCCATAACTGGGTCAGGCCCCTCCCAGGCGGCGTGCGATTGGACAAATCTAGGTCAGGGTCCACCTGCCTCTCCCCTCTGTCACTGCCACATGACGAGAGCAGTGAAACTTGGAAAACACAAACATAGTCGGGCAGGCGCAGGCACTCGTACAGCGAGCTGCTGAAATCACGCCGAAATAAATAAATGGTGCAACGAAAAAAAGCTGCAGAGCCCGGAGCTGATTGGCTGCCCGAGAGGTCTCGTTTCATGGATGGAGCTGCCGCAGACTCCTCCTCGATTGTCACTGCCATAGAGGAAAATCAGAGAAGAGGAAAACTGCTTTCCATTGATCAGGAAATGGGGGGAACGTCTGCCCTGTACCCCCTGCAACAACAACACACATGTGGGCACTCTAGACCAGCAGCAGCACCCGGATCTTCCTGCTGAACAGGCGCCCCTGCTGTGATCACTCCTCTCATACCGATCAGAGAAGAACACTGCACATCGGGGATCGCACGGATCGTCATCCCTCATCATTGTCCTCATCGGTCATTGGAATCCTCACTGTCATAGGAGATGGCTCGGCCAACGACCCAGCTGGCTGGCAACGAGAAGCTCCAGGGCCAGCAGATGCATCCTACACCTCCCATTGGAGGGCCAGGAGGTGGGATGGTAAGCCTGAAGAGCCTCCTCCAAGGGCCCATCAAGGGGCAAGAGCGCAGGACCAAGGAGCTGTCCAACTGTGAGTATTCCCATTCACCATTCATGTCTGTCTGTCTGTCTCTGTGTGCACTTTCCATAGAACCTGATACACTTTATAATGTGGTGCCAACTTGTATATGTCTAAGTCATGTGTTAGCAGGGCCATCATACACAGCTCAGATTTGAGCTGATTCCTTTAAATATTCACCATCTGATCCATGGGTGACCGTGCTGACACCACCCAGCCTGACAAACTTCAACTAGAAACAAACCAAAGGAGGCGGGCAGAAGAAAGTCAGGCAAACCACATCTGCAGCCAATCCAGTGTATTCTGACAGCTGTGGGTGCTGGCTGTCAGAATACAATACATTTCTCCACTCACTTGGTTTAGAGAAACCTCCACGGTTAAAGCAGAACTCCAGACAGAATTTTTCTTCACTCTTGCAGTGGTGCTTCTCCTGCATCAAAAGGGTCAACTGCTCGTTTTTCTCTAGGTGCTAAAAAATAGTTGTACTCACCTGATCCTAGAAGGTGGCTTGCTCTTAGACCGGTGCCTGGAGCCTCTCTTCTCCCCTCCTCTGCAGTGGTCTAAGGTCCTGTAAACCATCACGCTCTATGCACTGTTGGGGGAATTTCTAAAAGCTGCAGCAGATTTGCACTGCAGCCAATCAGCATCACACTCATTTTCAAATCTCACCTGAGTAAACTCTAGAGAGAGAAGCTGATTGGTTGCCATGGGCAACTGCTCCAGATTCTGTTTGTTCCATTTTTGATAAATTGCCCTATGTGTATAGATGTAAGGATGCTGAGGAACAGACCAATGATGCAGCGTAGGAGGAGAGAGGCTTCAGTGACCAGAGAAGCAGGGAGTCAGCTCCGTGGTTCGGGTGAGTATTACTTTTTTTTTATAGCACCAAGACAAAAATGGCCAGTTAACCCTTGCAGTGCTGGGGTAGCTCCTCCTGCTTCCTGCAAGGTCTAAGAACACTTTTGCCCAGAGTTCTACTTTAAGGCTGTCAGACAGGCGATTATTTGTTTGTATGCCAATGCCCCCCCCCGTTTCCTTCCCTTTTTTTTTTTCTAGAGACTTTTTGCTGAGAAATTCAAAATGATTTCCCTGTAATCGCCAACTCTCCAAGTGATGTGTCACTCAGCAGCTGAGGTTTAGGAGGGTTTCATGTCTCCAGCGGCTCTTCATTTACCTCTGACTTGGCTACAAGTGGCGGATGGAGAGCGATTTGTAGCGGAGGAGGACATCGGCGTAGGTGTACGGCTTCCTTCCCAATTGCCACTAGTGTTTTAGTGCTCTATGTGCAGAGGACAATGTCAGGCTAGATGCTGTGTATATGCTTCTAGATGCTTTAAATGACACGTTCACATGTGTGTTTACATGCATCTAATACCAAATCCTAGCGTCAAAACCTGTTTACATGCGTGTTGGTGCATCTAGACGTTCAAATCAATTCCTAGATGCACCTCACTTCTATTAGAAAACGCAGATAAACTGAAGGCCCATTCATACCAAGGCCATGCATTAATCACATGGTACTGTGCAATGCAGCTATACTGCAGGAGGTTTGTTGCCGTTCATTTGACCCCCCAAACGCACCTCTGCAATGTGCTCCACCAGGCCGCAACACACGGCACTGCAATACAGTGCGCAGCTATAAAAAAAAAGTAGTGCATGCACTATGTTTTTCAGCTGCGCCCCACAGTATAGCAGTACCACACATTGCGGCGCAGTGCCATGTGTACTGAACGCATGGCCTTTGTGTGAGTTGGGCCCTCAATTTATCTGCGTTTTCAGAGAGATTAAATTCAGGTGCATCTAGGACTCGATTTGAACGCAAATGGCAACACAACCCATCTCCCACAAGGTAGGTGTGTTGTGCAATTAACGCACATCCTTGGTGTGACCGGGCCCTCACTGCAGATAAACGCATCTAGACACAAGGTGTGAATATACCCATTGGAATGTATATAGATGCGTTTACAAAAGCTTTTTAAATGCATATAAAAGCATCTACTGGCCCTCCGTGTGAATGAAGCCTAAGGCCCCATTCACAGTGCGCGATTCGCAAATCGCGCGATTTGCATTTTGCGCAATAAGATATCGCGCAAATTCTTGCATTGAGCAAGCTGGAATCGCGGCAAAATCGGCTCCAAAAATGGTCCTGCTGTAGCGACACATGACCCGCGACAGCAGGACCCTTTGCCCCATTGCAAAGCATTGAAGAGCGATATCGCGCGGTAAATAGCCGTGATATCGCGGGAATTACCGCGCAATAAATCGCTCAATGTGAACGGGGCCTAAGAGGAGATGTAGAGGAAGAATGAGTGCTGAACCTGACCTGAGTGTATGTATACATCCAGTATATAGGATGTGTGTGTCTCTATACTCTGCCTTCCATCTGTCACTTCCAGTGTTCTTGCAGCTGATCATGTCTTGGCTTCACTCCATGCAGAGGTCATTTCCCAGGCTCACATTGGATTGCATGTGCAGAGATTGCATTGCTTAGTTCATTCCATCTTCACTTCTGTCTCTTGTGTGTTATGTTCTTCATCAGTCTGTATCTTCATCATAGCTCTGCACTATGTTTTATTTCAGTTTGTTCATAGAATGATCAGATTTTTCCTGAAGGGCCCGTTCCGATTGCCCATTACATTAACGCACGCACTTTTGCTGTGGTGCATTGCATTATGGCAACCCCAATTTATTCTGCATGGAATGTACCTGGTCCTTCTCTTTTTTTCGGCATAGTGCACACGTGGGTTTTATCTGTGCATTTGAAGGCAAATGGGTTGGGGTGCGCTAGGTATGTGCATTGGGGTGCCATTCCAAATCAATGTCTACTTACTTCTGTGCATTAATGTAGGTTAAAACAATTCACAGGTCCAAATAAATCCACCTCTGCTTGTGGGCAAATTCCAGCCCTCCAGCTGTGCTGAAACTACAAATCCCATGATGCATCTGTCTCTGGGAGTCATGCTTGTGGCTGTGAAAATCTTGCATTGCCTCATGGGCTTTGTAGTTCCACAACTACTATTGCTATTCCCAATGAATGGCACCACGCTTTGATTTGTGGAATCTTCCCGAATATTGACCTGTCTATAGCCTGCCTACAACGCATTGACCAATCACCTTTCTTTATCCTGCGGACCAATCGGGTAAAGATGAATTGATTGCACCTTTTACACTGGAGGCTGATACAGCTTTCCCTAAAAGGAAATATTGCTAGATCCTCATAAATGTGAGGTTTTATTTCACAGAAATGTTATTCTTTCTGTATTCATTACCTGTCATTTATACAATGCTGTGCAGGCAAGCATCAGACATTTTTAGCTGTTTAGTTATTAGCAAGGTGCAGGGAACAGTGATGCCGTGTTACATTCCAGCCAATCACAAATCAACTTTTACTAACTATACAACCATGCTGAAACTATAAAAGATGCTTTCTGATTGGCTGCTGTGAAACCTAGCTCCTGATTCATTGATCTGTGTGCAGATTCATTGTATTCAGGTATGTTCAGAATAATTTGATCTCCAATAGAAGCAATGACACAGTAGATGAATGGAAAGGGTTAATGGAGCAGTGATGTGCACGATGAATTCCTACTCTTTGGTCGGGGGTCTTTTTTTTTTCTTTTAATGGGTCTGTTTCTGGGAAATAATGGGAAACAGACACATACAAGCTGTCGTGCATTATAATATGTGAAACTTTCATTAAAGATATTTGATGAATTAATACTCTGGACACAAACAAACCTGTTTTTCACTGTGTTAAATCTTCCCCCACCCTCCTCGGTGAAAGCACCATAGTTATATACGCAACTTCAGCCACGTTTATGAGGTCTTCACTGTATGACTAAGCCCACCGCACTCCCCATTCACAAAGGATCCTACAGCACGTGCGTGTCTAATGCCCCATTCATTGCTATGGCTGGGCCTCTGGTTGGCTGGAGCTGCCATGAGTATGGTCCCTCTCAATGGGGTGAGTGACGCACGCACATGCAGTAGGATATGCATGCGGCTAGGGCTTTTTTTTTGCACTGGCTTAGCAGTAGTCAATGCCACAAATTGAAGATCTCTGAGCACAGGGGTGGGGGGAGATTTAAAAAAACAACTTCTCTAAAAGTAAAGTTGTCCTATAATATTTGACATGTCTATTATGATGTCCCATACAACCATTCTACAGCTATAAGAAGTGCTTAAAGTGGAACAACCCTCTCCTCCCCTCCCAGCGATGTGATGTCTGTGAGCTCCCTTGTTGGCACCAACATCTTTGCCTAGTCTTCTTCTGGGTTTGGGGTCTTCAGCCATCTTGATTGGCCCTGGCAGGATGATGTAACTTACCTTTATATGCCCAGAATTGTGCACTGAGCTTCACATGTCATATTTTTATTATTCGGCATTTCCCCTTTAGGAACACTTCACCTAATGAGATGCCTTCAATCCAACCTGTGACAGCAGGACAAGAAATTAGGGTAGCAGTTGTCACTGGAGCAGGAAGGAGCAAAGAGTAATAATAACCAGATAGAGGTCCTAGCCCAAGAATAAGCAACTTCAGCACTCCAGCTGTGGTGAAACTACAAATCCCTTTATGCTTCTGGGAGTCTTGCCTGTGGCTGTCAGTCTTGCAATGCTTCATGGGATTTGTAGTTGTCCACCTCTGTTCTAACCCTTCCCACTAAAAAAAAACAAAAACGTTTTATTGTAGTCACTGAAGAGATTTCTGTCCAGTCAGGGGAAATCTCATTATTGGGGGCAAAGACTGCAAACAGAAACCTGATAATCCCTCCCACACTCTGTGCAAAACAAATAGTTTTGTCTGTTGCGGGGTTTAACCTTCCGATGGGATATATCTCACTTGTGTTATGACAATGCAGAAGGTATAATGGAAGCCATGAGGCATTGAAGTATAATCTGTACAGGAGCCCCTCCTATAATGTTCAGGCCCCGAGTCTGGTTCTACTTCCTCAGTAAGCCAGGCAAGCGACACATCGGGCACAATAGGCTCAATTCACAAACTATAAGACGAG